AATCATCCCCCCCATCCAGAACCCCTGAACACCCCCACCACCCCCACCACAGTGAGTCAGAGCAGCTACAGCTGTGGGTAAGTGCTTGCTTACCTCATGATTCCTGCTTTCACATTTGGGCCTGTTAGGCGCCTGTATTGTGGGGGTTATCCGGATATCCTGTGGGTGTTATCTGGATATCGTGTGGGTGTAGTCCAGATATCATGTAGTCGGAGTACGGGTATCGTGTGGGTGAGGTTATAGATAATGCGCAGATAAAATGTTTGGGAGGTAGATAGTGAGTTTGGGTGGGGAGATATGGGTCAGTATGGTGTGGGTATGAGTTATATTTTTATGTTTATATGAGTCAATGTGGTGGGAGTATGAGTTAGTAGTGTGGGTATGAATCAGTGTGGTGTGTGGGTATGAATCAGGGTAGACCACTTCACCACTGGAATTGTCTACACTGAAGGTACTATCAACATCAGTGACGTTACGGAGCTGTGCCCAGTAACATCTCTACACCAGCTGTGTCAGCGTACAAGTAACAGCATGAACAACCCAGCGGGTTTTCTTCCTATTGGGGAGTGTTGTACATGCTGCTATGGCGGTGTGTCCACTCACAGGATGAGTGGCGCTGCCCAATACTGTCACTATGGCGGTGTGTCCACTCACAGGATGAGTGGCGCTGCCCAATACTGTCACACTGGCGGTGTGTTCACTCACAGGATGAGTGGCGCTGCCCAATACTGTCACAATGGCGGTGTGTCCACTCACAAGATGAGTGGCGCTGCCCAATACTGTCACTATAGCGGTGTGTCCACTCACAGGATGAGTGGCGCTGCCCAATACTGTCACTATGGCGGTGTGATCACTCACAGGATGAGTGACGCTGCCTAATACTGTCACAGTGGCGGTGTGTTCACTCACAGGATGAGTGACGCTGCCCAATACTGTCACTATGGCGGTGTATCCACTCACAGGATGAGTGGCGCTGCCCAATACTGTCACTATGGGGGTATGTTCACTCACAGGATGAGTGACACTGCCCAATATTGTCACTGTGGTGGTGGTGTGTTCACTTACAGGATGAGAGGCACTGCCCAATACTGCCACTATGGTGATGAGTTCACTCACAGGATGGGTGGCGCTGCCCAATACTGTCACTATGGCGGTGTGTTCACTCACAGGATGAGTGGTGCTGCCCAATACTGTCACTATGGCGGTGTATCCACTCACAGAATGAGTGGTGCTGCCCAATACTCTCACTATGGCAGTGTGTCCACTCACAGCATGAGTGGCGCTGGCCAATACTGTCAGTATGGTGGTGTGTCCACTCACAGGATGAGTGGCGCTGCCCAATACTGTCCCTATGGCGTTGTGATCACTCATAGGATGAGTGACGCTGCCCAATACTATTACTATGGCGGTGTGTTCACTCACAGGATAAGTGACGCTGCCCAATACTGTCACTATGGCGGTGTGTTCACTCACAGGATGAGTGACGCTGCCCAATACTGTCACTATGGCGGTGTCTTCACTCAGGATGAGTAACGCTGCCCAATACTGTCACTATAGCGGTGTTTCCACTCACAGGATGAGTGACGCTGCCCAATACTGTCACTATAGCGGTGTGTCCTCCCACAGGATGAGTGACGCTGCCCCATACTGTCACTGGTGGTGTGTTCACTCACAGGATGAGTGACGCTGCCCAATACTATCACTATGGCGCTGTGTCCACGCACAGGATGAGTGACGCTGCCCAATACTGTCACTATGGTGGTGTGTCCACTCACAGGATGAGTGACGCTGTCCAATACTGTCACTATGGCGGTGTGTCCACTCACGGGATGAGTGACGCTGCCCAATACTGTCACTATGGTGGTGTGTCCACGCACAGGATGAGTGACGCTGCCCAATACTGTCACTATGGTGGTGTGTCCACTCACAGGATGAGTGACGCTGTCCAATACTGTCACTATAGCGGTGTTTCCACTCACAGGATGAGTGACGCTGCCCAATACTGTCACTATAGCGGTGTGTCCTCCCACAGGATGAGTGACGCTGCCCCATACTGTCACTGGTGGTGTGTTCACTCACAGGATGAGTGACGCTGCCCAATACTATCACTATGGCGCTGTGTCCACTCATAGGATGAGTGGTGCTGCCCAATACTGTCACTATGGTGGCGTGTCCACTCACAGGATGAGTGGTGCTGCCCAATACTGTCACTATGGTGGTGTGTCCACTCACAGGATGAGTGACGCTGTCCAATACTGTCACTATGGCGGTGTGTCCACGCACAGGATGAGTGACGTTGTCCAATACTGTCACTATGGTGGTGTGTCCACGCACAGGATGAGTGACGCTGCCCAATACTGTCACTATGGTGGTGTGTCCACTCACAGGATGAGTGACGCTGTCCAATACTGTCACTATGGCGGTGTGTCCACTCACAGGATGAGTGACGCTGCCCAATACTGTCACTATGGCGGTGTGTCCACTCACAGGATGAGTGGTGCTGCCCAATACTGTCACTATGGCGGTGTGTCTACTCACAGGATGAGTGACGCTGCCCAATACTGTCACTATGGTGGTGTGTCCACGCACAGGATGAGTGACGCTGCCCAATACTGTCACTATGGTGGTGTGTCCACTCACAGGATGAGTGACGCTGCCCAATACTGTCACTATGGTGGTGTGTCCACTCACAGGATGAGTGACGCTGCCCAATACTGTCACTATGGTGGTGTGTCCACTCACAGGATGAGTGACGCTGCCCAATACTGTCACTATGGTGGTGTGTCCACTCACAGGATGAGTGGCGCTGCCCAATACTGTCACTATGGTGGTGTGTCCACGCACAGTATGAGTGACGCTGCCCAATACTGTCACTATGGTGGCGTGTCCACTCACAGGATGAGTGACGCTGCCTAATAATCTCGCCCTTCCGGGTAAAATTAAAAAAAAATCTCTGTACCAGGCTGCTGGTGGTGTTATGTGGTGTAGTATAGTGTAGTTGTATAGTGTAGTATAGTCGTATAGTGTGGTCGTGTGGTGTAGTCGTATAGTGTGGTCGTGTGGTGTAGTCGTATAGTGTGGTCGTGTGGTGTAGTCGTATAGTGTGGTCGTGTGGTGTAGTCGTATAGTGTGGTCGTGTGGTGTAGTCGTATAGTGTGGTCGTGTGGTGTAGTCGTATAGTGTGGTCGTGTGGTGTAGTCGTATAGTGTGGTCGTGTGGTGTAGTCGTATAGTGTGGTCGTGTGGTGTAGTCGTATAGTGTGGTCGTGTGGTGTAGTCGTATAGTGTGGTCGTGTGGTGTAGTCGTATAGTGTGGTCGTGTGGTGTAGTCGTATAGTGTGGTCGTGTGGTGTAGTCGTATAGTGTGGTCGTGTGGTGTAGTCGTATAGTGTGGTCGTGTAGTGTAGTCGTATAGTGTGGTCGTGTGGTGTAGTCGTATAGTGTGGTCGTGTAGTGTAGTCGTATAGTGTGGTCGTGTGGTGTAGTATGTGGGGGTGGGCGTGCATGTGGGCGTGTTATGTGCACGGGCGTGGAGGTGTGGTATGGTCGTGAGTGTATATTGTAAGAGTGTAGCGTGGGCGTTATGGTACGTGGGCGTGTGACGTGGGCGTGCGTGTGGACGTGGGCGTGCGTGTGACGTGGGACGTGGGCGTGCATGTGGACGTGTGACGTGGACGTGTGACGTGGGCGTGCGTGTGGACGTGTGACGTGGGCGTGCGTGTGGACGTGTGGGCGTGTGGCGTGGCCAAGTAGGCTCGCCTTAGCGCAATCACAGACGTCTTGCAGGAGGAGGTACATGCAAGCACAGCTCCCGGGTGGGCGGCCAAGCAACCCAAGCCGCCCCGAACCCCCCACCCCCACCCCACCCACTCTCCCTCCCCCCAACCGCCGCCCAAAACCTCGGCCGCCCACCTCAACGCCCACCATCACCCCCGCCTAAACTAACCTCAATGAACGCTTTCCTAACCTGCTCTTAACCCATTCATGTCACGCCGCCCACCACCCTCGCCGCCCACCACTCGCCGCCCACCACACGCCGCCCACCATCCTCGCCGCCCACCATCCTCGCCGCCCACCATCCTCGCCGCCCACCACTCGCCGCCCACCATCCTCGCCGCCCACCATCCTCGCCGCCAACTTTCCTCGCCGCCCACCTTCCTCGCCGCCCACCATCCTCGCCGCCCACCATCCTCGCCGACCACCACCACTCGCCGCCCACCACCCTCACCACCCACCATCCTCGCCACCCACCACTAGCCACCCATAACTCGCTGCCCACCACTCGCCGCCCACCATCCTCGCCACCCACCACTAGCCACCCATAACTCGCCGCCCACCACCACCCGCCGCCCACCACCCTCACCAGCAACTATATTGAAGTTTTTATCTTCAACTTTAACTTTATTTAACAATATAAATTAATGTGTATAACTACTGGGTAAATTACGAGTATAAATACTAGACCTAATTTGTAAGCATGACTATAAGGAGTGATGAGGTAGGCCTAGTGTTAGAGAGGATTAGTCTGTCTACAGCTTTAAGTACGTAGTAGTTAATTAACAGGTAACTATTGTTTGTTTACATACCAAGAGTGTCAAAAGTCCTCCACTATAGCAGCTTGACGTTATACATCACTGCGTCAATATTTGGTGCTTTACTGAAATTCAGAACAATGTTATATTTACGTTCTACGGCTGATGAGCATAGGTATTAATAGGTAAGTGTAAACCACTTCAAAAGTGACGTTCGTGGGAACTCCCAGCTCAGACAAGGGGAGTCCTCTGTCGTAGTGACTTGTTGTACGATACAATTATATCAAAGCTTTTCATTGTTGAGAGAGTGTTGGTGATGGTTCTGAAAGCTCCTGAATAGAGCGGTCGTCCACAATACATCGTTCAGCAGGAAAGTTGGACCCCCTTGTTGACCCTTTGGAAGCTTCATCCGGTTTGGTTTTCGAAAATCTTGACCTATTAATGCTGCTTGAGATTTGGACTCTTAGGGATGAACCCGGGTGGACGCCGGGGACCCGGGTGGACGCCAGGGACCCGGGTGGACGCCAGGGACCAGGGTGGACGCTGGGGACCCGGGTGGACGCCAGGGACCCGGGTGGACGCCGGGGACCCGGGTGGACGCCAGGGACCCGGGTGGACGCCAGGGACCCGGGTGGACGCTGGGGACCCGGGTGGACGCCAGGGACCCGGGTGGACGCCAGGGACCCGGGTGGACGCCAGGGACCCGGGTGGACGCCAGGGACCCGGGTGGACGCCGGGGACCCGGGTGGACGCCAGGGACCCGGGTGGACGCCGGGGACCCGGGTGGACGCCAGGGACCCGGGTGGACGCCAGGGACCCGGGTGGACGCCAGGGACCCGGGTGGACGCCAGGGACCCGGGTGGACGCCAGGGACCCGGGTGGACGCCAGGGACCCGGGTGGACGCCGGGGACCCGGGTGGACGCCAGGGACCCGGGTGGACGCCGGGGACCCGGGTGGACGCCAGGGACCCGGGTGGACGCCAGGGACCCGGGTGGACGCCAGGGACCCGGATGGACGCCAGGGACCCGGGTGGACGCCGGGGACCCGGGTGGACGCCGGGGACCCGGGTGGACGCCGGGGACCCGGGTGGACGCCGGAGACACGGGTGGACGCCAGGAACCCGGGTGGACGCCGGGGGACCCAGGTGGACGCCGGGGACCCGGGTGGACGCCAGGGACCCGGGTGGACGCCAGGGACCCGGGTGGACGCCGGGGGACCCGGGTGGACGCCGGGGACCCGGGTGGACGCCAGGGACCCGGGTGGACGCCAGGGACCCGGGTGGACGCCGGGGACCCGTGTGGACGCCAGGGACCCGGGTGGACGCCAGGGACCCGGGTGGACGCCAGGGACCCGGGTGGACGCCGGGGACATGAGTGGACGCCGGGGACCCGAGTGGACGCCAGGGACCCGGGTGGACGCCAGGGACCCGGGTGGACGCCAGGGACCCGGGTGGACGCCGGGGACCCGGGTGGACGCCAGGGACCCGGGTGGACGCCAGGGACCCGGGTGGACGCTGGGGACCCGGGTGGACGCCAGGGACCCGGGTGGACGCCGGGGACCCGGGTGGACGCCAGGGACCCGTTTGGACGCCGGGGACCCGGGTGGACGCCGGGGACCCGGGTGGACGCCAGGGACCCGGGTGGACGCCGGGGACCCGGGTGGACGCCAGGGACACGGATGGACGCCAGGGACCCGGGTGGACGCCGGGGACCCGGGTGGACGCCAGGGACACGGATGGACGCCAGGGACACGAATGGACGCCAGGGACCCGGGTGGGCGCCAGGGACCCGGGTGGACGCCAGGGACCCGGGTGGACGCCAGGGACACGGATGGACGCCAGGGACACGAATGGACGCCAGGGACCCGGGTGGACGCCAGGGACCCGGGTGGACGCCAGGGACACGGATGGACGCCATGGACACGGATGGACGCCAGGGACCCGGATGGACGCCAGGGACCCGGGTGGACGCCGGGGACCCGGGTGGACGCCAGGGACACGGATGGACGCCAGGGACCCGGGTGGACGCCGGGGACCCGGGTGGACGCCAGGGACCCGGGTGGACGCCAGGGACCCGGGTGGACACTGGGGACACGGATGGACGCCAGGGACCCGGGTGGACACTGGGGACATGAGTGGACGCCGAGGACACGAGTGAAAATATTATCACAAACCCTTGTATTAACCCAAGAGAGTACAGAAAGGCGGGGCCAAGGAGCTGGTGGTCAACCGTGCAGACAGCAGCAGGCGGGTACACCTCGGCGAGCACACACACACACACACACACACACACACACACACACACACACACACACACACACACACACACACACACACACACACACACACACACACACATACGTGGGTGACCTTGGCGGGAAGCGTCTGTCTAGAGAGAGCTCAAGCGAGCAACCCTGACCTACCTTAAGCTGTCTAGCCCTTAGTGGGGAAGCTGGTGGAGGGGGTGGGGGGAGAGAGGGAGGGGTGGGGATGTGGGGAGGAGGGGGGCAGGGGAGGGGGTGTGGGGGGACGGTGGAAGTGGCTCAAGTGGTAAGAGAGAGAGAGAGAGAGTTAGTTCTCGTGCAAATCTATCACTGCTTATCTAGCAGTGACTTATGGTATGATGTGGGGAGGGTGGGTTGCTGCGGGTGGGGGGTGGGTTGCTGAGGGTGGGGGGAGGGAGGGTGGGCTGGTAGAGAGGCAAACGAACGCGTTATTACCTTTTTTCTTTTTAACTGTAATTTGTGGCGCGTTTCACGGAGCAGCACGCACACTAATACAAGCGCGCGCACACACACACACACACACACATATATATATATATATATAGACACGCGAACATACACATACGCACACACATGGGACCTCGCGGCTGAGTGGACAGCGTTCGGGGGTCGTAGTCCTAGGGGGGACCGGGTTCGACTCCCGGCCGAGGCAGAAACAAATGGGCAGAGTTTCTTTCAACCTGATGCACCTGTTCACCTTGCAGTAAATCGGTATCTGGAAGTTAGATAGCTGTTACGGGCTGTTTCCTGGGAAGGTGTGTGCGTGGGTTAGAGACAAATGTATGTAGTAGAAATAATAGAGGAAAACTAAAATGGTTAGAAAGGCGGGGTCCAAGAGCTAATAGCTCGATTCTGCAGGCTCAAATAGTAAACACACACACGGAAAAGCAGACATGTAAAACAGCTCCAGGCCTTTTCTATAAATTATTTTAAAGCAAGCCGCAGGAAAAGGATAAAATCCAGATATTAAGAACGGGGAACAGATTCACAGACAATGAACAAGAAATGTGTGAAGCACTAAATGAACAGTTCCAAAGTGTGTTGTGCAAAAAAGGAGGTTTTCAGAGAACTAGACTCTATGGTAGTTCCAGACAACACAATAGAACACATAAACGTGTCTCGAGACGAAGTGGAAAATTTACTCAAGTCTAGGAAAAGATAAAGTTGTTGGACCAACTGGAGCTTCACCCTGGGTGTTGAAAGAATCTGCAACTGAGCTGAGCAGTCCACTTCAACTGGTATTCCAGACATCTTTGTCCACAGCAATCTAAGCAGCTGTTTGGAAAAAGGCAAACATTGTTCCAGTCTACCAAAATGGTAGCCGAGGAGATCCTCTAAATTATATTGTTGTTGTTTAAGATTCGCTACTGTTAACAAAAAGTTCCAAGTAGCACGGGCTATGGTGAGCCCACACATTTATAAACCCGAATCGTTAACAAGCGTGGTAGTCAAAACACTAGGGAAAAATAGTTAAAACCAAATAGGTTTTGGTGGAGACACATGGATAGTAAAGATAGTCAGTATGGTTTTCGAACAGGAAGATCCTGTGTAACAATTCTACTTAGTTTCTACGATAGGGTCACAGAGATTCTACAGGAAATAGATGGTTAGGGTTAACTGTGTCTATATGGACCTAAAAAAGGCTTTTGACATAGTTCCACACAAGAGGCTGTTCTGGAAACTGGAACATGCTGGAGACTGGGAGACTGCTGACATGGATAAACAAAATTCTAAGTGACAGACAGATGAGGGCGGTAATCAGAGACAATGTATCTGACTGGAGGAGTGTTACTAGCGGAGTACCACAGGGTTCACTTCTTGCACCAGTAATGTTCATCGTCTACATAAATGATCTACCAGAATGAATACAGAACTATATGAACATGTTTGATGATGATGCTGAGATACTGGGGAAGATAGGAATCCTAGATTATTGTCATGTCCTTTAAATATATGTAAATAAATTAAGTGCTTGGAGCGACACGTGGTAAATAGAATTCAATGTGAATAAATACTATGTTATGGAATGTGGAATCGGAGAAGATAGGCCACACAGAACTTATAAATTACATGGAAAGGCATTACAGAACTTTAATAAAGAACGAAATCTGGGAGGTGGTTTTATATAGTAGACTGCCACCAGAGGAACACATAAAGAACATTGTGCGAGGAGCATATGCTGCACTTTCCAACTTCAGAATCGCTTATGATTATATACATGATGAAATACTAAAGAAACTGTTCATAACCTTTGTGAGACCAAAATTGTAAAATGCATCAGTTGTATGGTGCCCTTATCTCAAGAAACACATCAATAAACTGGAAAAGGTGCAGCAGCATGCTACAACATGGCTTCCGGAACTGAAAAACAAGAGTTATGAAGAGAGACTTGAGGCGTTAAATATGCCAAAACCAGAAGATAGCAGAAAAAGAGGCGATATGATTACCACATAAAATAATAACGGAAATTGACCAAATTGACAAAGAGGAATTCCTGAATCCGGCAACTTCCAGAACAAGAGATCACAGACTCAAGCTAAGGAAACAAAAGTGTCGAAAAATATTAGAAAGTTTTCTTTTGCATGCAGAGTAGTAAACAGTTGGAACAAGTGAGAAAGTGGTCAACACGTGTAATGGAACAAGTGAGAAAGTGGTCAACACGTGTAATGGAACAAGTGAGGAAGTGGTCAACACGTATAATGCACTGGAAAAAGAAGTTGTGGAAGCCACCTCCATCCACAACTCTAAGGCAAGATTCAACAAAGAATTTGTACGTGAGAAAAGTTCCATTATAACGCTGCAGGTACAAGAGGAGTGGGAGGCGGGGAGCTGGAGCTCACTCCCTCGTAGTGACTGTTAGGTAACTAGTAGCAGGTGGTAACTGCTTGTGGCTTCCTTGCTCCTACTTGCCACCCACCACCACCCCAACCATGCTGTTTTCTCAAGCTTTCCATCTTCTCATCCTCTTTCTCCTTCTCCTCTTCCCCTTCCTCTTCCTCTTCCTTCTCCTCCCTCACTTCCTCCTCCTCCACCCCCCCCCCCCTTCCTCAGTGCTTGCATCAACTAACGTATATTTTGATACTACTTTTTTCCGCATGAGAGCAGTCAGTGTCTGGACCGGGTGTGTGTGCGTGTCTGTACTCACCTAGTTGTGCTTGCGGGGGTTGAGCTCTGGCTCTTTGGTCCCGCCTCTCAACTGTCTATCAACTGGTGTACAGGTTCCTGACCCCCTACTGGGCTGTATCATATCTGCACTTGAAACTGTGTATGGAGTCAGCCTCCACCACATCACTTCCTAATGCATTCCATTTGTCAACCATTCTGCCACTAAAAAAGTTCTTTCTAATATCTCTGTGGCTCATTTGGGCACTCATTTTCCACCTGTGTCCCCTAGTGCGTGTGCCCCTTGTGTTAGATAGCCTGTCTTTATCTACCCTATCAATTCCTTTGAGAATCTTGTATGTGGTGATCATGCCCCCCTAACTCTTCTCTCTTCCAGCGACGTGTGGTTTAATTTCCGCAATCTCTCCTCGTAGCTCATACCTCTCAGCTCGGGTACTAGTCTGGTGGCAAACCTTTGAACCTTTTCCAGTTTAGTCTTATGCTTGACTAGATATGGACTCCATGCTGGAGCTGCATACTCCAGGATTGGTCTGACATAGGTGGTATACAAAGTTCTGAATGATTCCTTACACAAGTTTCTAAATGCCGTTCTTATGTTGGCCAGCCTGGCATATGCTGCTGATGTTATCCTTTTGATATGGGCTTCAGGGGACCGGTCTGGCGTGATATCAACCCCCAAGTCTTTTTCTCTCTCTGACTCTTGAAGAATTTCATCTCCCAGATGATACCTTGTATCTGGCCTCCTGCTCCCTACACCTATCTTCATTACAATACCTTTGCTTGGGTTAAACTCTAACAACCATTTGTTCGACCATTCCTTCAGTTTGTTTAGGTTTTCTTGAAGCCTCAAGCAGTCCTCCTCTGTCTTAATCCTTCTCATAATTTTGGCATCGTCAGCAAACATTGAGAGGAATGAGTCTATACCCTCCGGGAGATCATTTACGTATATCAGAAACAGGATAGGACTGAGTACAGAGCCCTGTGGGACCCCACTGGTGACTTCACGCCAATCTGAGATATCACCACTCACTGTAACTCTCTGCTTCCTATTGGTTAGGTACTCCCTTATCCACTGGAGCACCCTACCAGTTACTCCTGCCTGTTTCTCTAGCTTATGTATCAGCCTCTTATTGGGGACTGTGTCAAAGGCTTTCCGACTCCAAGAAAATGCAGTCCGCCTATCCTTCTCTTTCTTGCTTAATCTTTGTCACCTGATCGTAGAATTCAGTTAAGCCAGTAAGGCAAGCTTTACTCTCCCTGAACCCATGTTGATGGGTTGTCACAAAGTCCCTTCTCTCCAGATGTATTACTGGATTTTTCTCACGATCTTCTCCATCACCTGCATGGTATACAAGTTAAGGACACTGACCTGTAGTTCAGTGCCTCTTATCTGTCACCCTTTTTGTATATTGGGACCTCATTAGCCGTCTTCCATATTTCTGGTAAGTCTCCCGTCTCCAGTGACCTACTATACACTATGGAGAGTGGCAAGCAAAGTGCTTCTGCACACTCTTTCAATACCCATGGTGAGATCCCATCTGGACCAACAGCCTTTCTCACATCCAGATCCAACAGTTGTCTCTTGACCTCATCTCTCGTAATTTCGCCAGCCTTTTGTTTCCTAGTTCTTTTTGGGGGGAGATAAATCCTAGCTCTACCAGGTACTCAAAGATCAATACACTGTGATCACTCATTCCCAAGGGTGCTTCCATCTTAACTTCCCTTAT